TCACTAAGCTTATGTCTATGCAATTATTGTTAAAGGAGGTTTTGTTTTGATGTCATTAAAGCAAAAAGGTTTGGTTTTGTTTTGCCATGCTTAAATCACTAGTGATTTAAATTGATCTTTGCTCGCATGAACTGAAACATTTAGACTCCAAAGTTTACCGTAACTGCTTATTTATTTAAGTTTTTTTTTGTTTTATATATACACTAACTTTCACTAATTACCTTACAAGTTTATTTGTTTGCAGATATCTTTGTCCAAGAACTACTAGAAAAAGAATCAGAAAGAAGACCAAAGATCGCCTATGTAAATAGTGGTATCATACATGTTGTAAACGTTATGGCACTTTAAGCATCCCTTAATGTGATGCTCCCGTGGACGCAAACAATGTATGTTTTGGTCAAAATATATGTAAATTATGTGTGTATCACTTAGCATGCAATATTGTCTACTTGATACTTGCAACAATAATTTATCTGCAATTAGATATCGTTCAAAGTTAAATAATGTTGGGCCCGTGCTGACACGGGATGCATCAACCTAGTAATATATAGAAGAGTGAGAGAAGTAGGTCAAGATCGTCACGTGTGCTTGCCTACAAAAGGGTATTCTGGTCATTTCTGCTTTAGTCTTTAATTTCCCTTAAAACACCCGTAAGCACCCTAACAGTGACATCAACAAAGTAGCCTCCTAGATTATGATGGGCGCTTGGGTTTCTATGTTGCTGGCTCAATGCGTGGATCCATGTAACATCTGACCACTTCATATTTATCAGTCATAATGCTATCTCAAAGTTCCCATCTGTCTGAACACCTCTATGCAATCTCTGCTTGCTCTCACTGCTATTGTTATTAGTTGCACTATTTTCCTCCCTATACTGCTATTTTCTGGTGTGTACGCTGGTCCTCATCCTGTGCTTAGAGGTCTACGGTATTTTAGTATGACAGATATGTCACTCTCTATCTCTATCTGTTCATCTTCTTTGTTTTTCTTTGTCTTCCTTCTGATTTGTATCTTTCAGAGAAGTACTAAATAGGTAATTTCAAAGTCCAGAATTGAATTTGCTCTGCTTTTGTCTCTCTTCGCTCAGAATTCCTTAACCTTCTTCTTCGCTGTAAGGAAGAATTAGAGTTTGACTTGGATTTTTGTACTTCATTAGTTGCTAAATTGACATAATCACATGATTGACGGTCACCGCTGATCTTCGCTCAGAATTCCTTTGGCTTCTGCTTCTTCGTTGTAACAGAAAATTGGGGGTTTGCTTGGGTTTTTACAGTTTAGTAGTTGCTCAATTGACATACTTTTTTTCATTATATGTAACTGTAATTGTTTTATTTTTGGGTTCTTGCTGATTTGTTGCTCGAAATTAGATTGTAATGTTATATTGATTTTGTGAAATTCAAAAATACCTTGAAAGAAATTAGGATTTCCGTCTACTATCTAACTATTCTCCATGTTTGTTTATGTTTGAAGGTTTTTTGTATTTTGACCAAGAGTTATAAATTGGGGATTTAGAATGGATGAAGGTTACTTCTTGGATTTAAGCTATAATTTTAGTCTGCTACTGATGTATTTTATTTTGTTGATTTATTTCATTTTGTTATTCTGAGTTTACATGGAAAAAGTGAGTTGATTCTTAATTGTTTGAAACTTTTGTACTTGGCTTCTTACTTTCGAGCTCAGTGATTAGTAGCTTATATATACAAATTTGATAGAACTTGTATGGTATTTTTGGATTTGTATGGTGCGGTAAGTGCATACTTGTAATTTTTAATATTCTTTCCTAACAAATCAATATTCTCTCCTCTACCCAACATTTAGGAAAAATTTGCTTAAGAACTTGGAAGTCTGTGGGTCGTGATGTTTTTGCTTATTCTCTTCTGGGATATTTTAGGTATAACTATTGTATTTGTCCCAAATATTGTAAAAGTGGAATACAACGAGATACAGAAGTCCCACTGTTTTTCTGCAAAGTTCAGCCTTATTTTTTGCCTTGCAGCTACAACAACAAAGGTAGCAGCGACAATATGTATGATTTCAGGATTATTGTGTACATTACTTTCTTTTACCTATTATCTGATTCCTACACTAATACAATATTTAACATATACTTCATAGGACTTTTTTACGCACTACCAGATATAGGAACTAGGCATATCTGTGCAAGTCTTTGTATTGCAATGTTAATTCAACTTCTCAACTACCCTACTTTGCAAGTATTTTTCCTTGTAAACATTGTACTCTTTACACCGATAAACTATATTTATCGAAATGAAACATGCTCTAATCCAAAGTGTTGGAGTCTTTGTTTGTTTGATTTCGTTTCCCGTACTAACTATGTGTCACGATCGCAGTTCGCCCTCCATGAATTGTCGTAACGGTACCAAGTCTCTACGACTAGGTAAGCCTAACAATTGCGGAAAGAGGAAAAACAACAGCTAAAAACTAATAAAAACTGCGGAATAAATATAATGAAGGTTTAAGATACCGCTCGGCATATACAAATATAAAATCTCAAAAGAGAATAGAGAGGGACTCCTCGGTCTGTGGACGCGACAAATATACCTCGAAATCTCTGAAGAATCGCCTCGCCTCGCCTCAAGGATGGTAGGGCTGAGCCGAAGAACCTGGATCTGCACATGAAAAACATGCGCAGAAAGGGGCATGAGTACATCACAAAGGTACTCAGTAAGTGCCAAGCATAACCTCGGTCGGGTAGTGACGAGGAAAGTCAGGGACCTACTGAGTTTAAATGAAAAACAAGGTAAAACAGTGTAGAATACAATAATATAATTAAGTGATAACAGTATGAAGTAATACAGGATAATAAGAATAACAACAACTACAACAGAGAGAATATAACTCCACACAGTAATAGCAACCGGGGATCTCCCAGGATACCGTCTTGCAGTACCCAATAGTAAATATCCAGTGGATCTCCCGGGTGTCGTCCTGTTGTCCAACTCATAGTGCACGGGGATCTGCCGGAATCCCGATCCGTAGTCCCAAATGAAAATATCCAGTACAGAGGGAATCTACCGAGTGCAGTCCCGTAGTTTCAATGTAAATGTGCAGGGGAATCTACCGAAATATCAATCTGTATTCCCAAATAAACAGGCAAGGAGGATCTACCGGGATATCGCTCGTATTCCCAAAGTAAACACACAACAGCGCACGAAGAATATTCAATTCAATCTAAGTTCCATACCAAGGTAAAACAGATATTTCTAACCTAGCATGCTGCAGAGAATTCAATTAAAGCAGTTTGAGCAAGTAAGGCAATTAAGTCAATTAGACATGCTTCCATAAGCTAACAATAAGCTTAAATTGAAAGTAGCATAAACAGGGAAAAGGAAACACAGTATAGTTGCTTAGTGAAAATAGGATTTTTAACAATTAGCACAAGTACGCACAAGTACGCACTCGTCACCTCAGGTACATGGCATTTCAAATATCAACAATACCAAGTCCTAAGGGGAGTTCCCCCAAATAAGGTTAGACAAGCCACTTACCTCTAACCCGCTCAATCAACTCGAAATCACGTTCTTGCCACGAGTATCTGACTCCAAATGACCCAAATATATTTAAAATAATTGCATAATATAAATATAACTTCAAGTAACTAATTCAACTATTTAATTCTAAGCTAATACGCGAAATTAGGAAAATGACCAAAACGCCCCTCGGGCCCACGTCTCGGAATCGGGTAAAATTTATAAATTCGGAATCCTCACACTCTCACGAGTTCATGCATACCAAAAGTACCAAAATCGAACCTCAAATGGTCGCTCAAATCACCACTCAAAGCTCACAAATTAACCAAGCCCTAACTCCCAATATACCACTGATTTTCCTTCAAATTTCATACTTACAATGATAAAAATTACCATAATAATGAGTTTGGGTTCCAAAAATCTTACCTCCTCGAAGCTCCCTTGAATTCCCTCTCAAAAACCTCCCAAAAAGCTCAAATCCCAGATGAAATGGTGAAAAATGGGCAAAAATCGCGACTGAAACCTTATATAGGTTCTGGCCCAGGGTTTCCGCACCTGCGGCCTTTTCCTCGCACTTGCGGTCCCAGGTGCGCATCTGCGAAATTTCACTTAAAGGACTGGGCCGCACCTGCGCTTCTTCTACCGCACCTGCGGTCTCGCAGGTGCGCTCATACTACCGCACCTGCGAAAACTAGCTCCCAAGCACATAGCCGCATATGCGGCTCCTCAATCGCTTCTACGATCACGCACCTGCGGTCCCCTAACCGCAGGTGCGATTATGACAGAACTTCAACAACCTTCAAATTCCTCCTAAGTCCAATTCTATTTTCGTTAAACACCCGAAACTCATCCGAGGCTCCCGGGACCTCAACCAAACATGCCAACCAATCCAAAAATATCATACGAACTTATTCTAACCCTCAAATCACATCAAACAATGCTAAAACCACAAATCGCTCTCCAATCCAAGCCTAAGGATTTCCAAAACTTCTAAATTATGCTTTTCAAAAAGCCTATCAAACCTCGTCCGAATGACCTGAAATTTTGCACACACGTCACATTCAACACTACGGAGCTGCTCCAACTCTCAGAATTGTATTCCGATCCCTAGATCAAAATCTCACTATCGAACCGGAAACTTCAAAAATTTGCCTTTCGTCATTTCAAGCCTAAATAAGCTACGGACCCTCCAAAACACAATCCAAACACGCCTCTATGCCCGAAATCACCCAACGGAGCTAATAGAACCAACAAAATTCCATTCCAAGGCCATCTTCACACTACTCCGATTGCGGTCCAAATTCTAAAGCTTAAACTCTTATTTATGGACTAAGTATCCCAAAACACTCCGAAATTCCAAACGAATCCCCCCTGGCAACTCACAATAGCAAAAACAAACACAGGGAATGCAATTAATAGGGAATCAGGGTGTTAATTCTTAAAACAACCGGTCGGATCGCTACACTATGTTAACACTGAGATTCCCGCAATGTCGATGAAGGAATCCCAGAGAAGGGGCTTCCGAAGATGGGGCAGAACAAGCTATATTTTTATGCTTCCATATCTTTCTCTGCTGAAGGTAAAATTTCTTCATATGGATGCTTTCTTGATTATTTTACAATTAAATACTTTTATCTTTATAATATGTAACTATTTATCACGTTATGCTAGAATTGCGGCGTCTCACTATGGCAGAAGGAAAAGTAGACAAAGATTCAACTGGAAAAGTTTTGGACAAAGTTCAACTTCGAGATGATTTAACTGAAAAAGTTATTAAAGATAATGACCATGTCCAAATTGCTGCAATTAAGTTACTGTAGTAGGATGATTTTCCTGATTTAATAGGTAAACCCATAACTCATAGCCAATTGCTAAGATTTCAGGGGAGTTAATACATTCTTTCTGCTTTTGTCAATATGCTTTAAAGAAGGAAATGAAAATTTTCTCATCACTTACATGTTCTTTGTTGTGCTCTTTATGTGTCTGATGATATGCTTTAAAGAGTAAGAATGAAAAATTAGCAAGGTGCAAGTGATAGGTCTATAAACAACAATGTCTTTAGTTAATGTTTCCCTCCAAAGTAGGATGAGGTGCAAATGAGTCAGAGTAGAATCTTACATTTTACTGAACTAGGATTTAGTGATAGAAATATATAAATGAAAAATGTTTTACTTTTACAATTAAAGATTTCTATACTTTTATTGTCAGTAAATAATACTTCTGTTTCAGCTTCTAATTTCATTAGTTAAATCTACTTTTATTTTTCATATGATTTCTTTTGCCATCTAGGGGTTCCTTTATTTGGATTCTGTCAGTTGTATTTCTCTAAGTTCTTTGGGGCTTGACCAACAGATACTATTTCTTCATATGATTTATGAAGTTACTTCTTCTATATTTTGTTTGTGGTTGTTTTTATGCAGTATTTTGATTTTTAATGATAAAAGGTCTGTGCTGCTTATACTGTTTTTAAAGTGTAGTCTACACCTGGTTAGTCAATTCCTTAGGCATAATGTTTAACTGCACATGCATTCTTGAAATATCTTAATCGGTTCAACTCGCTAGATTTCATGTATACTTATTTTAACATCTTTGCTCTTTTAATTATAAGCACAATATTAATCATTTTATTTAGAAATAGTTTGATAAACTTGAATATTAAAGCAAATGTACAGTATGAACTATGGGGCAGTTACATGTATTGGTACTTTTTCCTTATAACATTTGGTCAAGCACTTGAAATTTGCTGGTTGCATGTTTTTGAACCTTTACCTTCTACATTTTGGCCAATAATTTTTTTTGAGCCCATAAGTTTTACAATTTACTCGGTTAATCATAGAGGAAAATTTACAGTCAACCACTGCAGCTCTAAGATAACATACTCTAACTTGTACTATACCAATTCTTCTCCAACTTCACGCCTCTCTATTGGCAAACACTGTCTTACCCCTTAAGCTGGACAAAACCAAATCTTGAGAACAGAAGTCTGAAAAAGTGTGTGAATCACTTTGTTATATTCATACTCATTCGACGCCTACAAAGTTGATAATCATAGAACCTATAACGGTATAGTAATGCATTTAATTTTTTTTTTTCAATTTCAGATGTTAAGATTACAAGAGTTGGCGGATTAATTGAGGTTAGAACTGTACATTGCTGAGTTGACGAGTAGATGGAACACTATTCCGTTGGCATTAGAACACTTGGAAAAAAACAGGCGGAATGCTTAATATGTTGGGCCCGTACAATAGTACGGGCAATCTTCTATCCAGTAATATGAGAGTTTCTCGTGAATGAAATTAAAATTTTAACTTTAAATAAGTTATTCTTTGAAATCTAGCTAACCTTATGGGATTATTAGCCTGTTTGGCCAAGCTGGAGAAATCAACTTATTTTGAGAAGTACTTTTTCCAAAAATATTTTTGAAAAAAGTATTTTGTAGAGAAACAGTTTGTGTTTGGCTAATCACTCTGAAAAGTACTTTTGAGCAATAATATTTGACCAAGCTTTTCAGAAAGTGCTTTTAAGTATCAAATTACGAATAAGGACATGAATAGATTTACTTAATAGTTAATATTATAAGCAAATAAATAATGTCACAAATTTGTTATTACATGCAATAACTAAATCTTTTCATTTTATTTAGGTAAAATGTCACGACCCAAACCGATAGACCGTGACGGGCACCCGGTACCTTACTCAACCGAATACCAACGTAACGTATCTTTCATATCATATTATCATAGGTAAATGAACTGGAGCAAAGCATGAGGGAATACAAACTTATACATATGAAGTAGGGGCCTATAAGGCCAAAATAGCCACTCGTGTACTGAACATGGGCCGACAAGGCCATACAAACTTTTACGTACATTACATCTGTCCACAAGCCTCTAAGAATACATAAATTTTTATAAAGGTCGGAACAGAATCCCGCGACAACAAACAATATCCGTCTAAAGCATACTAACCAATCAAGCAACTCCGAAGTAAATGGAGCGCACCAACATCTTCCGCTGAGCTGATAGCCTACCTGGAGGGCTCTCGACCTGTCTATCGGGACCTGCGGGCATGAAACGTAGCATCCCCAGGCAAAAAGGTATGTCAGTACGAATAATGTACCGAGTATGTAAGGCACATAAATAAGTACATAACAGACATGGAAGAAACATAGAGTAAATGACTCAACCTGTAAATCTGGATAACCCTGTAAATCATGAAATACTGATTGTATCATACATATGCATATGAATGTCATGTCGTGCATAGGTACATGTGTTCATAACATCATCAAGCCTCTGAGGGCATCCCATCATATCATCTCGGCCATTGTGGGCAAATCATGAACGTATACCAGCTGATCAGGTGGTGGTGTGTATATAACATCGTAACCTTTTTCCATATCCCATATACATATAGATATATACATATATACACGTATATAACGACATATGGTCATGGATCAATGTATATGAATGCAATACATGAAAATTACGTCAATAAAATCTCTTGGAGTGTCATCAGATCATTATGCCTTCGAATAATATCATAAAGTAAACTTTTTCAACTTACGTATTTTTCTGAGACCCATGAACAGATGATAGAATAATGTGACACATGAGGAATCAAGAACATAAGCATCTCTAATATTTCTATAAATAGAGTCATGTAAGGAAATTGTGCATTTGCAAATTTCGTTTGTGTCGTATGGGTCATGCCAAAAGAAAGAAGGGATAACCTTAACATACCTGAACCGATTCTTTTTTGCGAAAACACGTAACGACGGGTCAAAGTAGGGAAAAATCCGTATGATATTCTTGAGAAAGATTGTACCGGGCTTTTTTTGAATTAGCATTTCACGTTTGGACATTGTAGCATTTAAGAGAATTTAACGTTTTGAATTTAATAGAATTTCACGTTTTGGACTTAAGAGAATTTCACATTTTTGAGCTTTCACGTTCTGAGATTTCATATTTTGGACCATTGGTTATCTATTTGTAGGTATTGAATATATTAAAAGTGAATATTGTGGCTTTTTGCCGCCTAATTATAAGACTAGTAAGAGTCATTCTCTTACTATTGTGGCTTTTCGCCACCTAATCATAAAACTAGTAAGAGTCATTCTCTTACTATTGTGGCTTTTTGCCACGTTTTGGGGTTAATCTTATCCAATATATCCTCAATTAATTAGGTAATGTCCTATTATCTGGTAATTAACCAATTACCTACATAATTGAGAATTATTTTCACTTTCTTAAAATACTATTCATTTTTCACATACCTTATACACCTTACTATCATGATCATGTGGTACCTTCTATGGCACTAGTCCATAAATACCGGGTATTTTAGCTCGGATGATATTTTATCCAAAAATGCCAAATTTTGATGAAAATTCAATTTCTTTGACTTGCTTCCCCTTTCACCTTCACGAATTTACTCATCACATGTGAAATAGCATAATCCTTATAATCTCCAAATAATCTTTTACTTGGACTGACATTACCTTACGACAAATTCAACGTACAATACTACAGGGTGCGACATTGTCGTAATTTGATATTGCAAAGTGTAACATCATCGTAATATAATACTGCAGGACGTCATATCGTCGTAATATTGCGGGGCGCAACATCATTCCCCCCTTTGGAACATTCGTCCTCGAATGTTGGCTGATGCACTTATCATTTTCGTAACCCATAGCTCTTGCGAATACTTTAATATTTCCCTTTTCATTTAGGCAAATGTTCCTTGAATAAATCCAAAGGCCGGGGCATTCCCCCCTTTAGGCCTTTTTTCCATGCCATGACTTGTGATCGACTTCCTTCCAATCTCGTAACTGTTGCAACCTCCTATCATGTAGCCTCTACGATACTGACATTATAAGTGTGGCTATGCGACTTTTCGCTCCTTTTCCTTCAAGTTTCAGTGAATCTCTAGGCCTTACTTTGTACACATATACAAGGCTTAATAGGATACCTCTCTGGGCATCTATAGGTGTACTGAAGTTCTTCGCTCGATACTTTGTAAATCTTGCGAATATTGCTACCTCTTATTTCATAAACCACGTCATCTATCTGCATGATTTTTACTGCATCCAGGTAGGTCATACTATACCATAACTCTTACTTCGATTTATCGCTGGGGAGGTCTACTACCAAATTCCAGCTCACTCTTGTTGCTTATCCCATATGTATAAATCCCAGTCCTTTAATGCCCCATACTACTGTTCATCTTAAAAATGACGACCTAATCTCAGCTCATACTTTGTGACTTTTGTCCACCCATTATGATTTGCCTCAATATTGATCTTTGATATACCATTGATAACTTGAAACTTCTTACGTATTACCTTGCCACTAGGGCTTACGTTGCATCGATGAATATTTGAAGTGATTTCCATAATCATAGTTCATAGTATCTCGATGTAATTCACTTATGGGGGTATTCTAATCTCATGCCGTGTGCGAAATATTTTCTCTTTCTCCCTTTTTTTCTTCAAATCACTATTCAATCGAAGGCCCAAATGTCATCCTTTATCTATTGCAATCACACCTTTATTTCACTACCAGGGCAACATTCCATCTCTTCTAAATGCTACTAGTCTTAGACTCTTTTGAGTTTATTTAGGCCGTCAGCTCTTATTGTTTTCATGGGCTTAATCTTGAGGACTTATCCATTTTCGTCACCCTCTCACTTGTCTTCTTCTTATCCTTAATCTTGTCTTTCTAAAACCTTGTTGCTCTATCATACTTTAGCTTGCGATCAATTCCCTTATGCTTTTCTGAACATCATGCAAGACATCGCATCGCTTTTAACTCTTCTTTTACTCTCCGATTAGACCTTTCGGTACTTAGAAACCATAGGATGGAAGGTATGCCACTGACGATGCTGCTATCATTCCTGGGTATTGAGTCTCAGCGCTTCTGGTCTTCTATCTGAAGTATGGACTATTCAAAACCTTGTGCATTTGAGTATCTCGTACGTTGTTCACCTTTACCTTACTTACCTTAAAATCTTGCATCATATCTTCTATCTTTTTCATAACCTCTCTTCTATATAGGTATGATTCACACTCCAACTTGAAGCTCTATTATAATACTACAATTCGGTGGGAGCTTTATACTGACTTTTTATGAGGCTGTTACTTTTTTTTAACCGGTTTATCATAGAGTCATTATAGACTATGGTTGTTGTACTATCTCTCTCGTACCTCTGATTTTATGGGAGATCTTGCAATGTTCTCGATCACGATGTTTCTATTTTTCTGGGTCCAATAATCAAACTTCTGATTTACTTGGGTGGTGTAACTCTTTAGTTTCCTCTTTCTTCTGATCGGCCTTTACGTAGGCTTAAG